ACGGTTGGTAAGACTCGAAACTGGAAGGGGTTCTTTCAAGCTTCAACAATTACCACACAGCTGTACCTCTACAACAGGTGCTTTAACAAGAGCAAAACCAGAGTTTGCAAACACGGGTGGAATGCCCCTCGGGGTGAGTAAAAAAAAAAAAAAAAAAAAAAAGAGAGAGACACCGAAACTTTTATTGAGCTGTAGTGTAAAAAGAATTCCTAATTAATAATCCTCCTATCCCCCTGCTAGGTGGGAAGGATCCCTAGCAATACAAGGGAACAAGTATTTGAACTTTATACATAAAACGGCAAAACCCACTGAGTTCCTACATAGAACCCCAAAATGTACCAGTCCCATAATCCAGTATTACAGGACCTCTCCCTCTGCAACAGGTTATTAGTGCTCCAAGCCCAATTACTATCTCAACAGAGGCAAAAAAACCCTCTGCTGCAGTCCTTACAGCTGTATTTACTGTTGGAAATACCACATATCTCAACAACAAAAATATAAAGCATGAGACCTCTCAGTAGCTTACTGAGCTTTGGGCCCGTTTGGAAGAACAGAAAGCTGCTGGAGTTATGAGTGGTTTAGCAGCTCCCTCTTCTCCAGAGCACTGAAGCAGACCCCTAGAAAGCCAGAAAAGAAATAGCAGCTCAAAACTGCTATCTGTGGCAGTCAGTAATGTAAATGTGCAGTGGAAGACTTCGTGTGCCCTTATAATATTTAGCAGAAACGTGTGGCAGCTTCTGCTTAGTTTAAGGAAGTTTTTATAAGTTTCCATTTCACTGGGGAAACTGACCAGAAAATTCTGGATCAGGGTTCATTTAATCGCTATTTTAAAGTGTATATATATTTTAGACACAGCACACAACTCCTGTGAACAGCTTTATGTATTTTTACAACAGAAATACTTTGATTCTAAAATTTTAGAAAACAACACACCTGAAATCTCATATTTCTAATAACTGTAGCAGCCCAAGCCTGGGCTGAGCTCTCCTGTCACCAGCAGCCGCCAGTGCCAGATGCTACAATATGGCCAAGAGCTCCTATTTATAGTAAAAGTTATCCTCAGGGAAAATCCACTCACGTGAGTATTATTTGCAGCAGACAGCGGGTACTCTACACCTTGGAACTTAAGGTTTTGTCTCTTCTCTAGAATACTTGGAGGTGTTTCTTGTAAATAGATTTTACCACTAAAACTTTGAATATTCTTGCTCACCATGTGGATGTCGAGCTGTACTGAGAGATTTCAGTCTAAGGGCCAAGCCTGCCAATTGCCCTGGGTTAAACTGAAGCCCTAAAACACTAATATGCAGGGGATCTTCTGTGATTTCCTAAGGCTTCTTCTGTAAAATAAACCACTTTCATATATTAATTAATAAATGGCACACTGGTACATCAGCAAATACTTTACAGTTGCTAACTTACTGGTCACCTCACTAGAACTGTTAACCTCTCCAGCACCTAGTTCTGAAGGATTTTACACAGTCTGGCTAGACCCAGACTCATAAAATTTTATACACGCATGGCACAGAAAGAGATTCTGAGCAGGAAAAACAAACAAACAAACAACAAGCCAACCAACAACTAAACAAAACATGTTTCCCCTGCAAAGTATTATTATATTTTTGAAACAGTGTAAACCCAGATTAAGTAGAATGGATATACTGGTAAATTTTCACAGCAAGCCTGATGGAAGTGCAGAATATATTCATAGTCAAAAAAAAAAAGAATGAGCACCAAAATCATCCTTAAACATTCTGCTATACTAATGTCACTGCCAAAGTCGTTGGACTTTTCTAAGTACATATTATTCACAAGATATATCAAAAGAATTATGTATTTTTTAATGTCTGTTCTACACAGTCTCCTCAGTAAGAGGACAAAGCTTTCAAAGTGAAGACAGTCAGAAATAACAGCACTCAGAACATTTGGAAAACGTTCCATTATTTAGACTGTAACCAGATAATAATATATCAATCCATAAACATAACCTTCCCCCAGTTAAACTGATGAGGCTGTTGCCTTCGGGTTTACTGGAACCAGGAACAGTCTAAAAATCCAGAGTGCTTGTTTCCAGTCTCTAAAGGCCCAGCTGTAATAAATAACAGTCTTTATTTTGTGTATTACCCAGAAGTTTCACCAGTAACCGATAAGACCATACATCGTGAGGATTATCTGAAGACTTATCCCCATTTGGAAAATGAAAGCAGCCGTTAGGCAACATGCCTAGAGGGCATCTGTATTAGTCTTCAGAAACTAATACTTGGCTCTCCGAAGTCCCCCACCCCCCCAGTCTTAGAAGAACCATCAGCCTTTTCCTGGGATTGTAGACCTGTGGGTCTGCCAGAAAAAATAACTGCAAATTCGCTAGTTACCAGCTGACAGTTCACATCACAAAGTGAAACAGCACTATGGAGGAGGGAAGAGCAGAGAGTGACCTATCTTTTTTAATTCCATGTCCAGTTTGGCACAGAACAACGCAGGTGAAGAGGCAAGAAGCGACCTTGCCCAGTACCCACTCTCACTCCTTTCAGCACAGGCGTGATCCCCACGTTTCTGCCCCAGGGTCTGCGCTGCAGGTGTTGAATTAACCACCAGCCTCCACACAAATCCATCACTAACAAAGGTCTTAACAACGGGGAAAAGGAAAAGCAATTAGAGTCCTAGTGCCCCTACCCCACCGAGGGGTCTGATCCCACTATTAAGCTGATTTAGAAAATGACACGGACATCATTAAAACGTTTTGTGGCTTTAAAAAGATTTTTTTAAAAAAAAAAAGGAACACCTTCACAGTAAACAGCAGAGAGCAGCTGTGATGAGTGTCTTTAAAAGGGGTGTGCTAGCAGTTAAAGCACAGGGTTTCAGGTAGTGTCCAGGAGTGTGTCCTGACTATAAGGACACAAAAAGATCCATCAATATTCTGGGAAAACAAGTGACACTTACGGAGATGTACTGTTAACCACCTGAACTGTACCACTGCAGTTAAAAGGAATATCCCACCAGGTAAAAAGCTCAGCCCATCAGTCAGAGATCTCCCTTTACAGAGCAACCCAAGGGCTGATCATTTGTAGGTAATAAATTTTCAAGGCAGCGGGTGGGAGGAGAGCTTTACCACACTGTCAGAAGTGTTTCAAGAAGCGCATAACTCTCCCTAATGAAGCGTATTGCATTTGCATCCCAGTCACAAACGCTGCACTTCAAAAACGATTTTGCAGGTTACCTCTTCACCACGCCAGCCAGGACTGGGACCGCATCGCTTTCGAGCGCAATCATTATCCCCTCGTGGAACGACACTTATTTTACAGCCACAAAAACTACCTGTTTCCAAGCTAACTAAGCCCTGAGGAGGCTCGGAGTCGTTTCTAGGCCCCGGCGCAGGAGCCCGAGCGAAGCCTCATCCCCACACCAAGTCCCCACGCAGGACAACAAACCGAAGCCGCCCCCCAACCCGCACGGAGGGGTTTTGGGAGCCCACGGCCGACTGGAGCGGGCAGGGAAAGGTCTCCTGGGGAAGGGTTCCCTTTCCTGCCTCCCCGCGTTGTGCTTGGCACCTCTCGGCGGATCCAGTTTTGTTGCGGTTAGAGCATGACAAATTTCACGAGAAACCCTACACCTCTCTTGGCAGCGGCCAGAACTTCACGGTTTTTCCTTCCACCACCACCACCACCACCCCCCCCTGTTTGCTATGACTTTATAAATAAAAAATGTAATTCATAAAGATTTTGCTTGTGACTTTTCATTTCAGGGAATAGCAAAGTCTGGTAAAGGTATCAATCTGAGTGATTGTGAGGGGGAGTTTCAGAGCTTAATGTGGTTAGGCAAAGCTAAAAAACAAGCAAAAGGATGGAGTCAAGCCTCAACAGGCAAAGGCTGTGTGTATGAGGAAAATAAAGGGAAGATGAACAGTTTCATCTGTTTAGGGGGTTGATTTGTTGTTTTTAACTACTGCTGTAACATGAAAGGCTTGGTGGACTGCAGCTATCCTGCTTGTGAGGATTGTGACTGAACTAGCTGTATAGTGAGAGTGGACTGGATAAGGAGCATCTACCATGCTGGAGACTGCCCTTGGTGGAGGGAGTTCCCAAATGCTCTCTCCGGTAGAGAAAAGGATGCTCCCTTGGTCTTTTTTGTGTGTGGAATGAACCACTTAAAGACTCTTACACAATGTCTGTGGACAGTATAGCAAGATACCTTGTCCATGAGTCTTCCTCAGTGCTACACAAAGGCCTGTGAAATGAGAGAAACTTAGTCCTCACAGTGTAAATATTGCCAGGAGTCCTGCAGGGGGAGCAACAAACAGAGGAATTCCAGTGTATGACAGAGTGAATCCCCTTAAACAGCTTTCCCACCTGCCATACCTCCTCCATCCCAGGCCCTACACAGTCTGGGTAGTTGCACAGCACCCACAGCCTTGCAAGGGATATGAAGCAACAAGGCGATTGATGATATCTGCACCCTCATTGCTATTCAGATT